GCTATTTTCAAGTACCACATTTTGAGTCTTTGAACTGCCGAATGCCCTGGCTTAAAATATACAACAAGTTCCTCGAATTTGCTACCTTTAAATATATTTTAAATTGAATGGACTTCATTAGGAAGGGTCATTTAATGTTGCCAAATTGAATATTAATAAAAAGATAATAACTTAATCAGCGATTAGCTGATTTAACAAGCCGTGTAATGTAACATATTATGATATTTATTGTAGATGTCTGCGGCTCAACTTATAGTAGCAACATGTAATACCCTACTCCCATTTGAGCCATAAAAAACCCGTTCAACTAGCTGGGCACAAGTGATCAATGCCATCAAAAGACAATTACTAGCGCTAGCCAAAAACAATTTCCTCCCCCTCAACCCACAATCTGAAACGAAACTGCAATGCCCAGCGACGATGATAATGATCTGGCAAAAAAAAACAGTAGAAGCAGAGAGGCAAAAAGCGAGACAAGCCAAACACGGCCAAAGATCGGCAATCAAGTGGCCACTTCCAACCGTCCATCCATCCTTCCTTCCATCCATCCATCCAGCAGTGTGTGTGCCAATCCCAACACAATAAACTTCTGCAGTGGAAAACGAAACCAAAATCGCAAAACGGCAGTGCGAAAGCTCAAACACGAGCACCTGGCCTAAAAATAGCAACGTCTCATTAGAAATGGCTAAAAATAGATGGCGGCATTAAAGCGCGCTAACCTGTGGCACAGTGGAGTGTCGATGGAATGGAAACCGGAGTAAATGAAGGTTCAAGTGCGACACATAACGTATACGCACCATGGTGCAATCTTCTCCTTCAATCTGGTTATCTCGCAAATCGCAATCCAGCTACTGCACCAGTTACGAGCTAAACAGTGACGAGTTTGGGGCACAGGAAAACTGGTATTCTTCTATCTAGGGGCTTGAGGAATTCCGAGGGGGGATCCCTACTGGCCTATCATGTCCACACATATTTGAAGTCGAGGTAGTCCACGATACTTTTTTATTTTTAAGGAGGGAGCCTTTTGAGTCAAAAAGACAGTAAGTATTTACTGCTAGAGAAAAGAAAATATTGAAAAAAAAATACAGATACCCACCTTACATTGCAATTTATCTATCACTTTTAAGCTACTCAATTATTTAGCTACTTCAGTAAGCTAATTAGCTGAAAATTCCAAGGAATATTCCTAGCATTTAAAAGGGCCAACTGGCCCAAATAATTTTCATGGTACAGGCTTATAGACACATTTAATGAGCTCGTGACGAAACAGAAACAAAGAGCAGTTTCTGCTGCAATTCCCTGACAACTTTTAGCCAGCATAATTTCAAACAATTTAGTTAACTTCCACTAGCATTTCATGCTGTTTGCATTCATTTTCGTTTGCAGAAAATACGCGTTGGGCGAAGGTAAAGGTGACTCCTTCAGGAGTTGGGAAAACCCAGGATCAGGGACACGCGCAATACGAGGACTTCGGCAAGGTAAACGATGTAAATTAAACAGCGGGAGCAACAACAACTGAAATGCCCACGGTGGGCGTTGACCAAGGGTGAGTTGACGGGGCGAGGAGTGAGACACTTAGACAGGCAACATACACATTTATAGAAGGTTATCAAATTCAGCGATTGGTACATTATGTATACATGTTAAGTACATTCATGATGTATATGCGTTCATATATGCAATGGAAAATGAAATTACAATTAATGCTCTTGAACCGAAATAGCATTTCTGTTAAGAGCTAAGAGGACTATTTTTTCGAGTGCACACAAATGGGAAGCAGAGGGCCAACAACAAGCACAATAACGAATAACAAGCCAAAGGCATGCGAAACAGCAAAAAGCAGGAGAAACCCAATAACATAAAAGCGAAAGAATTTTTGCCAAAGGATGATGGCCAACCTGCAAAAGGGGTGGCGAAGGGAAGGGCGGACAAGTAGAAAAACCCGCTTACAGCAGCGAAGAAAAAAGCGGCGACGCCAAGCCAACCAACGACCTTGATAAGTTTTACACAATGAGAGCAGGAGAAAGAGAGCGAGACCCCAGCAAAAGGAGCCTTCTCTCTCTCTCTCTCGCTGGGGCAAAAAGGGCGGCAGGGAGAGAGGCCACCGCAATCGATGCCCCGAAAGTGGTGAGTTTCGCCACGCGCGAGAGCGGTATCTCTCTTGCTCTCTCATCAACAAGTGGCTCAGCTGTGAGTGGGCTGGTGAGAAGCGGTGGGGGGCGATGGGTGGCGGGGAGCGTTAAGTAGCTCCTTACTCAATTCGTTTTTTTGTGTCTGTGTGGCGCTCTCTCTCTCTATGTCTCTTTGATAAACAGCCAGTGGTGAGTTTGTTTTCCTCTTTACAAGCTGATTATCATATTCTGCGTTTTATTATTGAATTTCTCGAAAATTGCCTGATTGTGTGTGTGTGACGCATGTGTAAAGTGCGGCGCACAAATTGATAGAACTGCCGCCCACAAACCCCCCTTTGCAACCTTTCACCACCCTCCCCCGTTATAAAAAACAAATTCCGTATGTTTGTTTTCCTCTCTCTCTTTCTCTTTCATCACAGTCAGCTGCCAAATCAGCTGTCTGATTTGAGGCAAATTCATTTGGAATTATTTAACAATCGAAGTCGCAAACAGAGAATAGAAAGCAGGAGATTGCAAAACATGTGAACGGAAAATTCTGACCGCTCGATGGTAAATGGCAAGCAACTGGACTCGCTACAAGCAAAAAGTAAAGGAAAATGCAGAACAACTTGAGCAAGTTGAACAACAACAACTGCCTCCATTGTAGTAGTTATGTACCTGCAACGTGCCTGAAATTTCAAAAATGCAATATCAAAACCAACGCGGAACCAGAAAAAGCTTGTTTGGGATGCACGAGGCAAGCAATACCCTCTATTTTCAGAATGCCTAATACAATTTCTATGAACTATATTACTACATTCATTAAAAAAGGATTATTGATTTGGCACCTCAATGATTTATTTCTTCCTTTAAAACGGCTTTTTAACTTATTTTTCTTCAATGATTTAAGACTATAAGGGGGTTGAAATAGGCTACTATGATATGGGTTGTTGGTTCAGATAAGGCGACATAGACTGCGTGAATAAATATAATAGTATAAGTATTCTTTAATATGGTAGATGATGATGATGATTTCATGTTTTGCAACCTTAAGACCTTTTTCTATAGAGTATCCTAAGCGCCGTGCTGCACTTGCAACTGCCAAACGAAACGAAACCGGACTCAACTGGACGCACGCCCCTCGCACACACACCCATTAAGTGCTCACACACACTAGTGCCATTACATACACACAGACACAATATATCTATATAGACGACGCCTAGTTGAGCATTTTGAACGACAACTACAGCGGACAAGCCATAATTAATCAGGCCTGGCCGGCAATATTTTACAAAAGCGAAACGAAAATTCCTCAACGACTTGCAAGACGAAGTTTCTGCAGATCCTTAACTTGAAAATTTGCCTAGATACATTGTTGCCAGTTTTCCAATTTACCCTTATCAATTGGCCAATAACACGTGCATTTCCCTGGTACCTGCTGCGTTCCATTTGGCTTAGTCAATCGCACACTTCCTAATCACAAACAAATTCTAACAAATCGCTGGAAACTTGTTTCTTTCTACCGCAACATTAATTCGCATATTTTTACAAATTATATTAAAGCTTAAATACAGGGGTACATAAAATACATACACACATGGAGTATTAGAAGTTGACGACGGCAACAGACATTCTGAATTTTTCGTGTACTTTGAAAACTTGTTTTATTTATTTGCTCTCGGTTTGTTCTGCCGCTGCTTGTAAGCTTATTGAACAATTATATTATGGCGTCTGAAATGACAATAGCTCAATAATGTTTATCACGATGCTTGCATGCGCGAACAGCGAAGAAATAATGTGAATAACTGTGAACGCTTACGTTACTCTCACGTTTTAGGATTTAGTATCTCGTCACATATCTTAGTTCTAATAAACATACATTTGTATGTATGCAATAGAACAAATCTTGGTACAATTTTCCATTCATCACTTTTTGTATACCCAAGGTACTGAATATAGGGTCCTTTTTCCCCTAATGAGCAACATTTCGGGTTTTTGATTAACATGTTTGTGAAAATAAATGACTTACATATAATAAGTCACTTAAGTGAACGAACTTAATTTCAATTCTTACCAAAAGAAAGAAAACAACTTATTCGTATTACAATTAAAACGATTCTATCGTGCAAAGTAGTTATTGTACCAAAAGTTTTCCAGACATTGTGGAAACTTTGCATTTAACATTTAGCATGCAAATAAAACAATTACAATAAATTATCGTAAAAAAAAAACCCAGTTACCCGAGCTGTGATTTTGTAACAGCATTTCGTTGGCATTTTTCTCACCCGGACGACTACAAAGCATATATGTGAGGTAATAATTGATGTCATTTCGCGCAGTGTAAGTGGGGGAGGCAATGCCCGCCTCTTGATTTTTTTCCTTAAGCTTCTCTTTAGTCAATTGTCGCTTCATTGCGGGAGAAAAATAGGTGGAAAGTTGAGAGGAACAACCACTTAATTATATACTGCATGTGGATAAGCTGATCTGATATGCAAAACAAAGCTATTAAGTTGGGAATTTGAGTTTTGAGCTCTATATCAAATCGATATGAAAGGGTAAAACAAATACAGTTGACCTTTTATAACATTAATCAGAGTTTATCCAATAAGAAATTGAAACATGTTGAAACATTCTCTAGTTGATATACCCTTGACCATTTTTTGAGCACAAGCCTACTGACTAGGAGGTTCTAAAGTTGGTGTTAGGTCAAACATTTCAAATTGATTATGATATCGTAGATATATAGAGAATCGATATCTGATGCGCTTTCTAGGTGACTTCAGTTGGCTAATGAAACTGCAATCGACTTTTGGACCCAACGTTACAAGAAGTGCAATCAAAGTGGTGGAAGGAGTGACAGAAACAGAAAGGCTATATTCAACTTACCGTCCGCAAGTTCAAGGCCAAATGGCGCTCTCCTACATTGGCGCTCTCGCTTGTGGGGCTCTGCGCTCTCTCCCTCTCCTCCTTTCTGAGAGTCTTGCTGTGTTACACGTAAAAGAACTTTCGTTTTCCGCCAGCGAGGGATGGGGTGGGGGCTTGGGTGGGCGAAGTGGCCCACATGCAACTGCCGTTAGCAGGTCCGTTGTTGTTTTTCTTTCGTTTTCGCACTTCTCTCTGCCTCTTCTTTTGCTACTGCTGTTTTCTGTTGTTCGCCAAACAGGAGCGACTTTTGTAAATTAATTAACAACACTCGCACACTCACTCCCCACAAACACACTCACGCACACAGCTGCGTTCATCATGCGAGCGCGCGCTTTGAGATAAGCAAAGCAATTTATTTGCACTAAAATTTACTTTTGCGCGCTGAGCGAAACGTGGGCGAAGGGGTGGGGGGAGAGAGAGGAGCTCACCACACACACACACTCACGCGACCGACGTAAGAGCTCACGTTTTCGCAGGTTTTTAGGCTATATTATTATATTGTCAGCGTGTTTTCGATCTGATCTTATGCATTCGGCTAGTTCCCGATAAAGAGTTTTTGTTTCGAAATTAATGCGATCGATTCAAAGTCTGATCAGATCGGTCCAATTGGAGCCTACGACAAAACAAGTCAACAACGGCGGAGCGCTACAACAAATGTGCTTCGTGAGCTTTGAGCGGATGGGTCACACTCGCGAGCAGGAGCAGTACGGTCACACCTGGTGATGACAGTTTGCCGATATATCGATTGATTTCTTGGCGATACTTAACTGGCGCCAGCTTAAAAAATTAAAATGTTAAATTTAATATACAGGCAAATTCACTAGTTCTTTTCCTGTAACTAAGCGGAATTTAGTATAATTTTGCTCTCAATTTCTATAAGATATGCAACGAATTCTTTTAATGTTTGAGTCACAAGTATTAAATAAATAAACAACATTCACAATAAAAATGTTTAATTCAAATGCCTCGCAATCATGGTGCATTTTTTAGGACCTTGTGCTTTCATTTTTCATTTAAAACAAGTTTTAGGACAGAAAGTCTTACATACTTAAATACAAATTTTCACAGCAATGGGAGATTAGCTTTTAGACCGTCGAATTCCTTCTTTTCTAAGGGCTTAAGATGTGTACCCGAGAAGGGCGATTTGAACTCCAAATCGCGATGTTTGTTGACCAGAACTTTCTGATCTGAGTATATCAGATTGATTTGCTGCTCTATTTGCTGTTGATCTGTCGGAAATCATAGTTAGTAACCACATCTAGTGGACGATGCAGTTACCTACCTTTCTTGAGCAGGTCCAATGCCTTTGCCCGCTCCATTTTGACTAGCATACTGCCAATCGTGATCCAAACTTTCTTGTCCTCCGACTTTTCCATCAGCCTCATTGCCTGCCGGGTTTCCTGCCGGCGTTTATCCATTACCGTCAGTTCCTGTTTGTTGGCCAGAATTTTGTCGGCCAACTCCTCGGTCTTGGTTATTATCTCAATGCTTTTGGTCAGATCTGTTTGCGACATTCTGCAAGTGATATCTTTAAACAGCTTTCAGCAAAACACGGAAGTAAACAAAAGCATTGTAGTGAGACCCGAAATCGTACTAACGCCTTTTCAACAGCTGTTTCATCAGGGACGTTACACAGAGGAGGGTTCACCTTACATGTAAACTATAATAACCAAAGTTCAACTGTTATCCATTTTCTAAGAAACAACAGCTTATCCGGTTCTAAGAAACATCAGCTTACACTTCAATCTAACCTTCTGCTATTGTATATATGCATGTATATTGTATTGAGGGATTGTAAAAGCGTATTCCCCACACATATATGGTCACATTACAGCACACTGTAACTGCATAACATTGATCCCCTAGAAAAAAAATTCTACCTGCGCCGCTGAACACATAACATTTCAATAGCAAGCAAAGATGGCCGCGTCATTAGTAGATTTGTAGTTTCGAGACGAAACGAAACGTTTGTTTACGAGCACAATTTCACCGGACTGGATCTCCGCCAGCATTCGGGCAGCTATATATGCACATTCGAAGGGACTCCAAAGCAATGCATTCCACCGACAGCGAAAAGTGCCAGGGCAGCAAGTCCTTGGCAATCTGTTGCCTGCTCCTCCACCTCCTACTCTCTATCCGACCAGCAGTGGCGCAGGTAAATCGCGAGCCATAAAGAAATCATTACCCAGTTGTTGAGTTTACGAGACCCATGTTCCAAACATATGTTTGCAGTGCGTGCACAGATGTTTAGCATATCGATTTCGCAGTAGTGTGCGTGGGCGCCTTTGCTCCGTGGCAATTGTTTTGCTTCACCTAGGCGCGCTAATCTTAATCTCATTTCCCGCTTTTCAGACTCAAAGTTCGCAGCGTTATCTGCATAATGTGGACAACAGCAGTAACAACAACGAACGCCTGCAGCAAATTCTCAAAGGATCTGGAGCAGGATCGGGTGCCACGCAGCTCAACTGGCCTCAGCCGTCCAAGCAAACTGTTCTCAACGTCAAGACTGGGCTGGCCAAGCTGAACAACAGTGAGTGTGCATCTTTTCATGTTCGTATACCCTGTAATTCACTGAAATTCCATCCCCAGCTTATGTTTACCAGAACGCCTGGCCGGCAAACAATGTGAGACTGGGTGCAGTGACAGCCGTAAGTTTCGACCAGGCCGGCAACGTGGTAATCTTCCATCGCGTGGACCGCGTCTGGGGACAGAACACTTTCGACACCAGGAACCAGTTCCAGGAGAAGTTCCGCGGGCCCATAAGAGAGAGCACCGTCCTGGCACTTGAGCCCGCAACAGGCAAAGTGCAATACGACTGGGGCAAGAACTTGTAAGAAATTATAACTCCCTTGCACGGTACTTTGGCTAACTTAGGATAGTGTTTTTTTGATTGCAAATATGAGTTTGCACGGTTGTAAAGGAAAGCATTTCCGAGTCGATCTGTCCGTCTGTCCGACCAATATGCCATAAACATTTTACCTAAGCAACGGATAACTGATAGTCGAGGATATCGTTCTGTATTGTTCTTGGTACTAATTTATTGTCGCGTTGTTTTGTGTTTGTATAATACGTACAGTGCTTTTCGTTATAATTATCTGGCGCAGTTAAATTAAATTGGTAGTAAAAGTATTTTGCATTTGTAAGTTCAAAAGTTCTAATACATAGTCAAAAGTATTTTGTAAGATTTTATTTCGGTTGTCAGAATTCGAAGGCATATTTCCTTTAAGTACTCACTAGAATAGTAATGGACTTTTGATGACTTGCCTAATACGTTTGTTTTCCCTAATTGAATACCATCTCACCCACAGTTTTTACATGCCACATGGGCTAACCGTGGATCCGGAAGACAATGTTTGGTTAACAGACGTAGCCATGCACCAGGTTTTCAAATTTCAGCCTCGTGGAGGCGATGGAAAACCAGTGCTTACTCTGGGCGATGCCTTCCAGCCCGGCTCCGGACGAAAATTCTGCAAGCCCACCTCGGTGGCGGTGTTGGATAACGGGGACTTCTTTGTGGCGGATGGATACTGCAATGCCCGAATCCTTAAGTACTCACGAAAAGGCGAACTCATCCTCTCCTGGGGACGGAACAGCTTTTCTGGCATATCCTATGATGTGGCGCCCAAGAACTTCTTCGCAATCCCCCACGCACTGACTCTTGTCCCGGAGCTGCAGCTACTCTGCGCAGCTGACAGGGAGAATGGGCGGGTACAATGCTTCTCCTCGAACAATGGCACGTTTCACTCACAGTACCACAACCAGCTGATAGGGGACCGCATCTTTAGCATGGCCTACACCCCGGCCGCGGGTGAGTGGATAAATCTTCTTCTGATATCGGTGTTCATGAGGAGTCATTTCACTATTCACACCATTATAACAGAGCATCTCTTGTACAAATCATACCCCTAAATGAATTCATTTTCCGCCACAGGTGGGCAGCTGGTCATTGTCAACGGACCCATCGCCGAGTTAGGTATAAATCCTGAGCACTATAACGAGGTGCACGGCTTCGTGCTAAGCATGCGCAGCAAGCAACTGGTGTCTAAGTTCGGTCCCAATAACCTGGAGTTCCAGAACCCGCACGACGTGGCCGTTACAGTTGACGGCAATGAGATCTACGTGGCCGAGCTGAATCCTATGCGCATCCACAAGTTCGTGCACCGATCGCTCGCCAAACCAATGTCCTTGTCGGCCACCAAGGACTCTAGCAACAGCGCTATTAGCCGAGCTGTGGAAATAGACCAGGCTACTCCAGAGGCTGTGCACCACCCCAGTGGCAAAGCCATCCTGGTGGCTTCGCTCATGCTCCTTTTCGCCGGCTCTACCTTTGCCTTGGCTTTGATCTTCGCACAGCGAAGGAAACGAGGTAACCAAGCGAACAGCTCCGCCACGCCCAGCGACCTGGTGTACCGAAAGCTGACTGCTTCCAACCAGAGTCTGTGCTGATCGGCAGTGCTAACTCCTCACTCAATGTCCTGTGTTGTGCTGTCACACTTAACTGATGTAGTATCCTGTACTTATAAGTTCGAATTTGATTACATTTAATCTCACGTTTGAATCTCACTATTCTTGCTTTTTTGGTTTTGTATTCGTATTTCGTATTCGTTAGCATGTACCTTTTGGTAACATTTTTGTAACTAAAATTTATACCGCATTTAGTGTTTCGAATTATATACACAGTTTTATACAAAATACATAAGCAACCTACAAAATTTACGTTTATCCTTAAGTGTATTCTGTTTCCGTTTTCGGTTTGTTTCAGTGCACGTCAGATCGCAGATTTATGCATGAACTGTAAAGGGAATGGCATTTCCAGTGTTGTTGCTCATATACATTTGTTAATTGTTAATCAGTTATACCAACATATCCCACAGGTTGCCTCCCTTTTGGAGCCCGCAGTCGTCGTCACGCGTGGGAGAAAAGCGATGGCTTCAAGCTGGGCGGACTTCTCGACCGGGATCGCAACGGATTCGAGAAGCTGGACCAGCAGGCCAGCGACGAAGAGCAGGAGACGAAGACACTGGCGAGTGCCCAGTACGCCTAGGCGAATGACCAAGACTTACGCAGCTAACAAAGCATTCCTAGTTCTAACTACCTGTACCTCATTGAAATACCGACCTAGTTTTACTTGAGCTATATGTGTGTACTTTAGGTGACTTTATTTACCTTCCTTGGGGTGCATATCGCAGAGAATTCCGATCGGGGAGTATTTACTTTATTTATTTAAGGTTGTCAAGCCATTTGTAAAAGTATTTTAAACATGTTATTTATGGAACTTTTTTGAAGAACTATGCGAGTATTCCAAAGCCCATTTTGTGACGAACGACCTTACTCGTTAAGTTCCATTTTATTTATTATTTATTTGGCTATTTATAAATTATTTAAATTCGTTATTTAAAGGAACAAATTTTTAAAATGTATGCAGTTTGTAAATGTTACTGTTTTAATCAACGATCCATGAGCTCGAAAATATCTGAGATATAGTAGGTGCCACCAGAGTCTAGTGACTTGACCTCATCCTTTAGGTCAACAAATTTGTTTACATTTAATTTTCTACCAATTGAATCGAAGTTCTCCGCGAATGCGCCTTATATCTTGCGATTAATTTGCCAAAACGAATATAGTCGTATGAATCTGTCATAGTGCGTATTTTGATTATTTAAAGTCTGCGGCTTAACTAGATTTCTTTATAAATAGGTGTACAACATATTGTGTCGACTAATAAGGCCCCATTGTGGCGAATATAAACCCCCTACCTCTTCCCAGGCTGTCCCTATCCCAGAAGACCTAGGCTTTAGCTTCTGGCTGGCGGTCAGACAACCTGGGCAAGGAAGCCTTCATTCTCCTCCGTTACAATAGCATCGATGTTGTAGAATATAGCATGCATCGCGATTACGAAGCATGAAGCACCCAGTGTCCAAAACAAAACCGCTCCCGCGCCCACCAGGAAAAGCACTGGTGCCGTCGCCAGATTGAGTGCGATTATCTGCTGGCTGGGCGTCAGTTGTTGTCCCACGATGGTGATGTTGCTGTTGCGCACGCGCAACTTGTGGCAGCCAAAAGCGGCAGCCAGGATGACCAGCAGAATGCAGGGAGCCGTGATGCTGGTGATTGTAACTATTAAATAGGCTGTGCAATAAGGCATTTATAATCACTCACAGGCAGTAGATCATCAGTACAAAAAAGATGAAAACGTAGTTGGCCTGAAAGTAGGAGAGATTCCGAATAACCCGGCTATTCAGCCGCTGCATGCTGACGGCCGTTTTGAAGTTGTTGATGTTGAAGAAGACTACCCAGGGTCGCAGGGAGTTCCGGACCATTTGGAAGATCTGCAGCGGTGACGGAAGATTGGATAGCGACGGCAGACTGCGTTGTTTAAGAGTAATTAGTACCTATAGCCTCCTTGTTACGGGTCACTCACCTTTGAAGGTCCACGGGGAACCTGCCTCCTGAGGGTGGTGGCTGATGCATATTGCCGGATAAGTTCCCGCTAGCCTGAGCCATTTCTTGACCTCGTCTTAACTCTTATCTAAAAGACACGTCTTCGCTGCAATCTACTATTCTTCTTTCACAAGTGTGGGCGTTCTACAAGTGTTATATGTATCTTTGCAGTCGTCACACTTGGTTCGAGAACAGTTTTTCGGATGCTGCGGCGTTTGTGAAGCGACGAGGTCTTTCCCGGGGCCACTTCTACATGCAGGCGGCGACACTTTCGATGTTGATTTTACAATTTACTCTTAATTTGCTATGACATCGTTTTCTTTTGAGAAATAGTACACAAAGTTTGAAAAATCTGATGTGGCAGATAGTTCTAGGATTGCCGTTGCCGTGACGTGCAGTGTGGCCGGAGTTGCGAATGCGCTAATTCTCGAAATTAAAGCAACTGAAAAAAAACCCAATGCGCTGAATGCAATCAAACTTCTATTCCAACACATTTTCTCACGGTGTTTGAATACAAATCATATTATTAAGCATATTTTTACACAACATATTTATGTTTTTAAATAATGTAAGCATATTTCGTTACATAGCCCATAAACCATACCTTGTGGGTCAAAGTATCCAGATAAGAGTTACAATTTATGCTGATTAATGGAATCTATGTATGAATATATCTTGTACCTAATTCAGGTGAAATTGAAATGACACTAAGAATAAGTTTGAAAGTCAAAAGACTTTCCATTGGCGTTATCTATTGACTGTATCTGCACAAAGTACTCTACGTAAGCGTGTTCATGGATATGGATTCATGACGTAAAATCATTGATAAGAATTTTTATCCATTTACGGAATGAATCAGAAATTTGATTTTAATTTCCGGGAATTGTGACAGTTTAAAAAGTGTTAAATGTTAAAAGTGGATTTATATTATTTTTTTTCGTAAATTGATTATAATTGTTGTAATTTACTGTATTTTTAGACTGTGTACAAACTACATGCAAATCATGTTCTTCTAACTTGGTGTTAGAGTTAAAAGACCTGTCAATGTAGTCGAGTGTCGCGACTATTAGGTACCTCTTACTCAGCTTATGGAACTGAAACAGATGGAGATGGATGCACCCAGTAGGATTTGAATGCATTGCATGCAGTCAGGAGACATCTCTTTTCAATGAACTTTTAATACACATTTGATAGATTTCAGATAGTCGGATTTAATCCTTGCCTGGCCCCTGAAGGCATTTGCGTAATAGGTGTTCAGGGTGATAGGTGTTCTAGCTCTTCCGGAGTCCCAGAGATCTCGACATTCATACGGACGTGTTCTTCTAACTTTTACATAAAGGGTATAAATGCTGTATCACTGTCGAATTGTGATGTTTTAGATATGGCATTAAAATTCATTCATACTTGGTCCATGCTCGTGGAGACCCAATTTTCCCATAGAGTGAATCATTTTAGCAATCCGGATAAGCTTACTTTTAAGACCAACTCGTTTTTGAATTCAGTCTTCGTTTAAGCTTCGACATACCAAGATGGTCTTGATCCCGTTTTATTTCGCACTTCTACTCCAGGCGATTTTCTTGGTGCATTCTAGAAATATTGGTAAATAGTGGCAAGGAAATTTCAAATTACCACAGACCAGTGCCAGTGCTTAAAAAATCGTCCTTTGACGATTCAGGATTTCTCGACGTTTTAATAGCAATAATAATGAGATCTGCATTGTGTTTTATTGATGGAGTCTAAAAAATTCGATTGATTTCGATACTCATAGTATGTAACATAAACTTGTTACTTGTTACAACAAGGGAAAGAAGCAGAAAGTTTTAAAAAGTTATATTTTGCGCCATTCTGGTTATTCTCATTAACTGGTAAATTTTGTAACCCTTAGGAAATTTTAGGAATTGCCCATTGGACGAAGTGTGCGTCCCACTGAACACATGCCAACCTCTTATGGCCCTTATAAATCTCATGAAAGAGATAAACTATACGAATTCAACACTTCTCAACGTAAAATGCGGCATGCTTAATTCTGCTCGTGAGCTAGTGTACAATGTGCACGTCTGCTGTCCGAAGGATCTACCAGATAGCAGTGTCTGCGGACAGAGTCCTCCTATATTTTACATTGTGGGTGGCAAGGATGCACAGCTCAACCAGTTTCCCTGGACTGCCCTGCTGCTCTACAAGCGCGACATCGCCCGCCCTTGGACTACGTCTCCTCGGTGTGCGGGCTCCTTGATCACCAACAGATATGTCCTCACGGCAGCCCATTGTTTGACCGTGACCAGGTTCACTGAGATAGGTGTGCGCCTTGGCGAGCACAACCTCGAGACCAATCCCGACTGCATCTGGCTGCTAAAGAAGAAATGCGCTAAACCGCACGTGGACATCGATGTGAGTCTGGCCATCGTGCACAAACAGTACCACACGAGAGATGGAAGGCACTACAACGATATTGCTCTGTTGCGCCTCGCAAGACCTGTGATGTAAGTAGTGTTGGCAGTGTGCTCTATGGGCTGGCTGTTTGGGGTCCCCACATTTCCTAGCCACGGCTTCTCTTTCAGATACACCGCGGGAATCAAACCCATTTGCATTAGACCCGACTTTGAAATAGCACGCTCCTCCTTCGAAAACCACACCTTGGAAATTGCCGGCTGGGGCGATTCGAGTAGACAGCAGTACAGCTCCGTATTGCTGCACGGCACCATCAGAGGTATGAGTCCGGAAAATTGCCTAACACAGTTTCCCACCCTGCGAGTGGATAGGGACATCCAGATATGTGCCATGGGACGGGATGGTACCGACACCGGACGAGGCGATTCCGGTGGACCGCTGATGGCCTCAGTGGGAAGGGCCGATCATCAATTTTATTACCTAGCCGGAATAACTTCCTACGGAGGGGATGCCTCTAGTTATGGATGTGGGCCAGCGGTTTACACAAAAACCTCTTCATATATTTGGTGGATAAAATGGAATATGATGAATATATGGAAAAAAAGCTTTATGTAAACATATGTAGATATGTTGTAAAATTATGTAGCCGTTGAGAACTCCAAACTTTTGACATGATCCCCTTATTGCTAAAACGCTAAAATCTTACTTAGACCAACTCTAATTATAATTCCATTAATTACACATATAAGTTTGCATTTGTGATAATTGCGATTTGTCAGCGTCAGAAACTTTTTTTTTGTCATTTATGTATGTATATGCACATATATAAACATAAGTATGTATATTACTCAATATATTATTACTCAATGAGTAAGAGATTTTTCTGAAAAATATCTTCTACCATGCGCTTTGGTTAAGTTGACTTAACACATTTGTGTAATCATTTGAAGAGAAAAATAAAGAAAAAAAACTTAATTTTTTTTACGAAGGAGAAAAAATGGGTTCCGGAATGTAGGGAGTTAAATGTAAAAGTGCCGACAGCTCGATAACACATCGTCCCCACTACGTAAATTCGAAGGCGACTTTGCATGCGCCTTCTTTCCGCCAGTCGCGCCTTGGTCACACTACAGATCTACAGAAATTTGGATTTGGAAAATTCCCGAAATCGCTGCCGAGGCTGGAACCAAGTCTATCCCAGGGCAAACCCATCCAAAAGCACAAGCCTCGCAAGCATATAGGACACTAGAAATATGGCTGACGATTGGGGTAAGTTTCGATTGGCGTGGGCGGCAGCGTGTACGGTGCGTCATCTGCGACGGACAATAAACGTGGTCGCCGTCGCTGTTGTTGTTGTTGCTGTTGGAGTGCCATGCAACCAGCCTTGATGAGTATTTTTAGCCCCTGTGCCAACTAACCGTTTGAAACTCTTGTTACTCACTATGTTCCTGGGACTGATCCTGTCATCGGGCAGAATCCGCAGCAGACAGTGAGGTGGTCATACGGCCGACGGCTGCCGCCAGCGTAAACAAGTGGGAGGGCGAGGACGAGGATGAGGACATCAAGGTGCGACCAACGAAATCCAAGTGAGACCGAAAGCAGTGCCAATCAGTATTCAAAACCAACTACTCAAGTGCCAGCCCAACAACAAATGCCAGGGCCCAAAAACTTGTTTTCGTGCACTCTGGTTTCACTTTCGTTTCGCTGTACACGTGTGCATTTTTGCAGCAGACTGATCGAATCCATTCTTTGTTAACTGCCCACAGGACAGCTGGGAGGACGAGGAGGAGAAAAAGGACGAGGAAAAGCCCACGAAAACAGAAGCCCCAGCCAAACCGAAGCCAAATAAGGCGCTAAAAGCCAAACTGGAACAGCAGGCGGTAGGCTGATAAAGCTCAAAAGGGGTTCTCAATCCCCCACTATATTATCATCACTTACTTCTTCACAGCGCCTGGAGGAGGAAGCGGAGGCACAACGTGTGGCCAGTCTATCGCCTGCAGAGAAGTTGGCTGAGAAGCTGCGTTTGCAAAAAATCCAGGAGGCCTCTGATCTCAAGCATGCCCAGGAGGCGTTCGGCGTGACGAGTACGTGCGGCGGCCTAGACGCCTTCAACCCAGAGAGCAAGGAGGAGTTCAAGGAGTTTGGCGCAACGCTCAGCTGGAAGGTGGCCCAGTTCCGCGAGTCGGAGCACTTCCCGCAGTTCGTTGAGGATCTGGTGCGCAGTCTATGCGTGAATCGTGAGTGATAAGCTAGCTGACACCGAAAGGCGTGTTATCTGATTTGATTTTGCACCTTATCTAGTGAGCGCCGCTGACATCAAAAAGGTCAAGATGAACGTGGAAATCTTGCACTCGGAAAAGCTGAAGCTGGAAAAGGCCAATGCCAAGAAGCCCGCCGGAAAGGGCAAGGGCAAGGTCACTCTTCGCACCGAAAACGACGTGAGTGTTTCAGTCGCCGTTCGATCGCTGCTCGTGAATGAACCTATTAAATATACTCTTTCACAGGACATTGACGGTTACCAAAAGTACGGAAATGACTTCACCGAAGACTATGACGACTTCATGTGAATAGGATCTATAATGTAGCCCGCATATAATTAATCTAATTATTGAATACATAGTTGCTTGTTGAAGAGTTCTTCTTGTTAGAGATGCTGCGCAGGAATAAGAGTCCTTTGTTAAATATAAAATGGCAGAACCTATATAAATATGTATATAAATATATGTATATTTATATGACCATATAGAACACAGAAAGAGATACAGACAGTCAGGCAATCAAGAAACCTCAACGAACACGCGAATCCAACTCCAAACCGAAAGAATATTTAGGCAACTGACTTATGGCAGCAGCATATGTATGTAGGTCGTATTCGGAATGGCTTCTTGTGAAATTAATTTTTGTATAAAGAATAAAACTACAGATCGATATTAAACGAAAACAAGAAATGCCTATTTATTTATCTGAAGGGAACAGCTGCTATTTACTAAAAATGGAATTGTTTTCACCAAATGTTCGTACCTAAATGGTAATGGACCATAAACTTTTTAAACGAGCTATTTGTGGGAATATACTATTAATTTATTTAAAACGAGCATAAATGCGCGCCTTGGTCTGAAGGCGTTTCACTGTGAATGGTAATGTGGGTATAGCCAAGAAGAAGCATCTCTGGGAATGGTTTGTGACTTGGCTTAAAAACACAGTATTATTATTAAGTTCTTAAAGTAGTCACAAATAAATAAAAGAAGTCGAATACATCGTAAAAGAAAGGGCGCTAAAGCATTTTTAGCGCACCTTTGCCGTTTCAACTTCTCCATTAACTTATCGCGCCTTCAGCCGAGGTCTGGCTAGCTTGAGTGTAGCTAAACTGCCATCGCTGTCGTCATTTACTGCACGTGCGGCAAATAAACAAAAATGAGCGATTTTAACAAGTATTGCGAAGGTTTTATAAGCTTGTAAGCCTGCCAGGACAGCCTGATAAATGCTTGCATCTTGCAGAAGCCGCGAAAGAGGAGCTGCCCGACTCGGAGGACGAGGAAGACATCGGCGACGAGGACACTTGCAGTGCACAGGATCTTGCCGCCGAATTCCAGCTGAAGTACCAGCCGCAGGACGAAGTCAGCGTGTCCCTGCAGCGTGAATATGTACTTAGCTTGGCAGCGGATCAGGAATTCTCGCGCATTGCCGCCGGCCTGTCCAATTCAGCGGTGCACATCTACAATTTGGATGCAGGCGCTGGTAAACTGGAGAACTTTAGCTACCTGCCGCCCACAGAGTCAGCGCATCGCGTTAGCATCTGTGGCGTCCGCTTCCTGGACGAGGGACCACACAACATCCTGGTGGGCACCACCGATGGCTACGTGCGCCTCTACGATCTGCGGCTAAGGGGCGAACAGGCCAGGTTCAAGTACACGCAGCACCCGGATGTGCCTCCGGTGCCCAAGTCGCTAGCGTGCTTCGACAGGAACGCCAACGGCCGCATCATTTGCTGCGGCACTGAACAGTTTCACAGCAACGCCTTCCTGGTGTTCTTCGATGTTCGGCAGCGCCAGCAGATGGGCGTCTACTTCGACAGCCACGAGGACGATATCACCTCGGTGCGGTTCCATGGCCAGAATCCGGACCTTCTGGCCACAGGTGGTGTGGACGGGCTGGTGAATGTGTTCGATGTGAAGCAGCCGGACGAGGATGAAGCACTGCTTAATACCTTCAACACGGAGAGCAGTGTGGCCCGTTTGGCCTGGCACAAGAACGTCTACGACAAGGACATCGTATCCTGCGTCACGACCACCGGCGATTTCAAGAGCTACGAGTGCGAGGAGGGCGACGAGGTGACATCCTTCGCGCGGCCGGACGTCACGGCGGCTATAAGGAGAAAGAAAGCGGCGAACTTCAACTTGATAAACGCCCACAACCAGGAAGACGGAGGAGTCTTTCTGCTGGCGGGCACGAACTTCAACAAGGGGTTAGTTCTTAACTTGTTTACCTGGTTTTTGCCTAGCACGCAACCAACTGAATAATCTCCTTTCAGCGAGATCCTGCGCTCCGTTAGCATCACCTCCAAGAACAGCCTCCAGCCATTGGCCAACTTTCAGGGAAACAAACAGATCGTCAGAGACAGCATTTTCGATGCGAAGAGAGGTTTGCTTTTTACGGGCGGTGAGTCCGGCATTGTTACGGTTTGGACACAGGACGCAAGTGGGACGGCGGTTAGCAGTGAAAAACTGAAGGTCAGGAAGGAGAAGAAGTCACGCAAGCAGGCGCCATATTAAATGTGTGTTTATGTTTTTAATAAAGGTTTTCTAAATAATCGAAATTCATTTCAAATTTAATGTTGCCAGATCTGCGTAAGGCGCTCATGTTGGCTGGCTGACAGGGGCCCGCTGATTTGAGCCTACGTCTAGGAAAGCGGCTTACGTATTGAATAAGTGTAGCATACTTTTGATACACGTTTTGAGCTACGTTACTTACATATTTTCTACTTGACACTGGCATACACAAATGTAGATACATGTGGGCTAACTTGTATCTGACATGCGTATAAAATTAATCACAAGGGACTTTAAAAAGAACTGCCTCTTACACAATTTATAAATTATATTGCATAATCTTGTTTTGTCTACGTAGAAAAGTTGAGAGCAATTTTGTAGCTATTTACCACCTCCAATTGTTTAGGTAACTATCTTTTAAGATGAATAGTAAAAGCCCCTCACCGGTTGGTATCTGCAGCCATTCAACGATGATTCAATTCACCCCCAACCTGCGCACTCAGTGCTCACTTTCTGTCTCAGCCAGGTCTGCTGAGTAAAAAATTAGCACATCCTCAGCGCAGATAAACGCATCCTTAGAACACCCACTGCACCTCCCACCAGCCATCCATCCGTCCATCCGTCCATCCTGCATCCGCATCCCTTCGCACAGAGAGCGGCCCAATTAGTGCTGCAGTAGGCATTTCGAATCCGTGCCCACAAATCGGCTAATCCGCTGCCACTGCCTGACGGGCCAGAGTCCAGAGTTCAGGGTGCAGGGTGCAGATTTCCGAGTCGTAGAGTCCAAATGTTGACAAATACAACACCTACGATACAAATAAAATTGCTACAGAAGTACCACCTAGAAAC